GCATGCCACTGGGGCTCCTGCCTTGAGTTCTGGTGAGGCAGAACTCAAGGGGCACATTCTTCCCAGGAAGGGGTCGTGGAGGTAGTTCCACATGTCAATCAGCCTGCTACCAGCTGGAAACAGAACCACAGGAGTTGGATTTTCAAGCAGATACTAGAAGACCTTTGGAGCTTCTTGAGTCTCTCACCCTTTGCACGATAGACATCCATGACAGATACTTTCCGCTGCATATTTCATGCACTTCAAGAAGCAAATAGCTCAAACTAGGACCGAAGCTTGATTGAAAGGCTGAGTGAGAATATACTTCCCTTGGCGTGAAATCCAGCTATTTCTCAGAGAGTTTTTATTTAAAAAAAAACTAACTTTCACCAGCCTGAGAGCATGAACTGAACTAGTTATTGGCCTTCTCAAGGTTCTTTCCGGAACAAAGATGGAAGGTAGGCGTACAGGAGTCTCTTCAGTAAAATGCTGACCTCTGGCGGACATTTCTTGAACCGTTTTTTGGTTTGGTTTCATTTGCTTTTTGGTTTGGGGTTGTTGTTGTTGTTGTTGTTTTTAAAACCCAATTGACTTGACGCAGCAGAAGTCCCAGAGGCAAAACATTCTTTTGAAAACTGAATGTCCCTCTCTTTAGGCTTCATCAGGTTTGAGGATATGAACCCCAAAGCACATACTTCACTATCTCTCCAAACTTTTCTGAGAGTTGGGTTTAATATCAAACATGCTAAGATTTTCTGCTATGATTAGGGATTTCATAATTTTATGAAGAGAAAACACAAAATTATTTGGTTTCCCTGAGATCTGCAGAAATTTTATGCCAATTTAACATCTACTATTAACATAATTTATGCCCCCAAAAATGAAGTTCAAAGTGTGTCTTAACCAGACTGAGAAAGTAGAAAACCTTCTCCTACCTTCAACTCAAATTGAAATATAGTCAAAATATACCGCTGACTTGGTAAAGAGGCTCTCCCTGAAGGTAAGGACCATCTCCCTCCTTTGCATTTCCAGATGCTGCCAGATGAGGCTCACTCTGAGGGAGCAGCTGGGAGGACTTGAATTCAGGAACCTTCTGGTCCAGGGGGTCTTGACCTGGACATTCCCAGACCACCCGCAAACCAGTCTCTGGGGGTGGGGTCAGTTTTTTTTTTAAAGCTCCACAGGTGAGCTGAATGAGAACCATGGACCTAGTCTCACCCCCTCCTTTTGTAAAGTGAGAACACCTCGGCCCAGAGAGGAGAGGGTGCTTGGCCGAGGTCACCCAGCCAGTTAGCAGGGAAATTCTGACTAGACTGTGAAAGCCTTAAAGACTGGAGCCCTGTACTTTCAGTTTCGAAGTTTCAAATGAACTCTTCCCTGCTCCTGTGGTCTGACAGCACAGGCAGGCCTCCAAGAGACAGAAAAGGCCACAGTCCTCTCCGAAGCTTGCCCATCTTCCCCCTCTGAGCTTTGTTCTCCCAGCCGAGCCTCCCATCTCCCAGTCACCTTGACTGCCTCGAGCACAGATATGTCACTTTCACATGCTGCCCAGGCCAGCCTGTCCTGAGCCCTAGGCGGTTGATTTGTTCACAGCAGACCATGACCTGTTAGCTCCAAAGCCCACCTGAGACCAAACTCAAATGTCTCCACAACCAATTGCTTTAAACATCGCCCAAATAAGCAAATTTGTAGCTATTTACGGCCAGCATGCTTTGCATACCCCCATGAAACTGCTCCTAACATCTGCAAGCTGGGGATAAGCCCCAGGCCATAAAGACCCCAAGCTGCCTCTGTGCTTCGGAGCTCTCTGACCCAGAAATTCCTCACTGTGCTGCTGAGTGACATCACCTAGACACATGAGTGCCCCCCCGCCCCGCAAGTCCCCTTGTCCTCCCAAATAGCAACTCCCTACTGCTCGGGCTAGACTTCTGAGGGCAGGAGCGCACCTGTCAAGGCCCCGCCCAGTAAAGCCCGGGTGCGCTGCTGCCACCTTGTGGCCGTTTCTTTTTCTTTGATGTGCTCCAAAATCTGCAACCTGCAACGCCCAGGGTTTTTTCCTTTTTCTAGGCTTCTTTCTAAAACTTTCGTGGCCTAAGTTCCCTGTCTTCCCAAATTTTCTGACCCATGTAATACATGAGTTCCTACTGATATATCAATGGCCGATTCACTGCTTGATCCAATATTGATTGACCACCCTGGACATTCCAAGTGTTGCTTGAGGGACTTAGGATATGTCGTAGAACAAAACAGATCAAAATCCCTGAGTGAGCTGGTGATGTTCTAGAAGGGGCTTAAAGCTTTTCTTCTCTCTCTCTTTTTAAAGATTTTGTTTATTTATGAGAGAGAGGGACAAGCAGACTCCATGCTGATCGCCAAGCCCCACACGGGGCTCGATCTCAGGACCCTGAGATCATGACCTGAGCAGAAACCAAGAGTCAGACGCTTCACCGACTGAGCCACTCAGGTGCCCCTAAAGCTTTTCCTCTCTTAAAGAACCCTTGAAGCCAGAGTAAGGAGGTCTTAAGAGGGGAGTTTTGGGTATCATCAGTGAGCTAGCGGGAGGGATGTTGAGCACATGAGTTGGGTTTATAATCATGAGAGTCGGTTTAACAAATGTTCCTGAGTTCATACACCACACGAGCACTGCACTTTGAAGGAGACCTTCTTAAACTTGAACTTGCACTGAATCACCTAGGGACCTGCTTCAGAGGAAGATACTAAGTTAGGAAGTCTGGCATGGGGCCTGGGGGTCTGCCTTTTACTCCCAAATGCTGCTGCTGCTGCTGCTGCTGCTGCTGCTGCTAATGATGATGATACTGATCTCGGAACCACACCTGGAGCAGCAAGGCTTTGAAGCAGATTCCCTTGAGCCCTGACTTTTAGAAAACAAGTGACGGTAATAAGACCACGGTCATATGGCAAAGCTTCAGTAAGTCAGCCCCAGGCTATGGCTATCACCTGCATTTAGAGAGGAGGAAACAGAGCCTCCAAGACATTAACTCGCTTGTGTGGGAGTGCATGTTGCCAACAGGAGAGCTGGAACACCAGAGAGCCCGTGCGCTTGACTGTCCGCTCCCTCGCCTCTTAGCTACGACCGGCTGCTTGATCTGATCACATGAAGAGTCCGAACCTCAGGTTTCCCTTCTGTCAGCAGAGGGTGGGAGGGCAGTAGGGCCCCACAAGTGTTGTTGCTGTTGTTGCCATTAAGCCCTGAAGGGTTTTCTGCCCTGAACGTCCCCCTTCGCAGGGACTAAAAATCTACCAGCGGCTGGGATCCTTCCCTGACGCACAGCACCGCTCCCATACTGGCTCATTTTATCCCACGTCATCCCCGGGGAGCAGGTGTGTGGTTTCTTCCATCTTCCACGGGAGTAAGAGACGGCTGACCCAAGGGTGGCCTTCTCTGAGGAGCTGAGATCTAGAGATAGTAAAGATTTTCTCCAATCGGTGGCCTTTTAACCCGTTGAACTTAGTTATTAGCAGTGAAATCTCCTCTTCCAGCCAAGTGGTGCGTGAAGTCCAGTTGGGGAAGCAGAGAGGAGCAGAGGGCTCGGCCGGAGCCAGGTTCGAGACCTGCAGCCCTGCCTCATGGCCTAGCTTTGTTGAGTTCTGTTTCCCGAACCTTAGAGACAAGTGCCAGGAGCGCTGTTTGCAAACCCTGTCTCAGTCAGCTTTCTCTAGGAACAAGGAGCAGCAGGCCTCAAGGACGGAAGCCACCCAGTCGGGCCTGACTCTAGGGCTCCAGAGACCAAGTCCAGAAGTCAGCAGAGCCCGGGAGGCAGGAGGGACCACACTGGCAGCTGGCCTGGCTGGTAGCCAAGCCAGGTCCGAGGACGATCTTAAGCTTCTACACCTCGAGGGGCCAAATTCAATAGTCTATCCAGTGATCTCATCATTTCCCAGTGCCCCCTTTCCCCATTCCCCAGAGGGGCAAGGCTTTTCTTTTTTTAGATTTCAAAATTGTGAAATATAGCATACACCCAGAAAACCGCCTAACCGCAGCCAAGGGATAGAGTGTCGTCTGGATCCTAAAAGCCTCCGGGTGCTCCCATCTGACCCTCTGTCTCCCAGGGGGTGACCCAGCCACCCCGCTTTCGGACACAGCCCGTCCCTGCTTCTCTCTCTGTTTGCACGCCCTGTCTGCATACCCCTCCCTGCAATGGCTCAGTTTGTCCTGTTTTAGCTTTATGTCTGCAGGAGTGCTTAATGTGACTCCCATTGTGACTCCCACAGCCCGCGTCATGTGGTCAAGGTGCACCTCCCTGTGGCATGCAGCCGACTGCCGTCTACCCGCTTTCTGTGCTCTATATGAACATACATGATGTCTGTATTCATTCCTCGGTGATGGGTGTTTAGATTGTTTTCTGTTGGCGGCTATCGTGGACAGTGGTGCTACCCACCTTCCTGATAGGGAGGTCCGCCTCCCATATCCAGAGAGTGTGAAGCCCAAGGAGGAAAGGATTCTCAGAAGAGAGGCAGCCAGGCCTAATCCCCAGGGTGAGAAAGGCCCCTTGGCTTCCTCGTTTCCCAAGCTCTCCACGCACCAAGCCTGGCGAGGCCAGAAACATAGCCAGCAAAGTAGGTAAGTTTTCAAGATTTTATTGTAAAACAGAGCTTCAGTCACAGGGAGTAGCAGACTTTTTACTCTGCACACATAACACACATTCAATGAGCATATGCCGAGGGCCAGGCCCAAAATCCACCCAGGTCATGATCCCCGCTCTCAGGAGCTCAGAGTCTGGGGCTCTGGGGTGGGAGACAGACGGAGGCACAACCACCCTTGAACAAGTCTCAGAGTGTCCGAAGTGCTAAAATAGTCCAAGAACAATTCCTCCCTCCCAGGAGACCTGGCCCCAGGGGAGCCAAAGTTGTGCACCCTGGGAGCTGGGAGCTTCTGATGGGCGGGCTGGGAGAGGAAAAGTGGGGGGCCGCTGTACAAGGCCTGGAGTGGAGATGGTGCCGGGCCTGGACAGTGGGGGCCAGACTTGAGGAACGTGACAGAGAAAAACTAGGGACCAGCATAACAAACTAACTTCTCATTTTTGCAGGTTAGGGTGTTACAAAAATAAGACAGGGAAACCAAAAGGGAGAGCTCCTTTCCCCCTCCCCCACCCCCTTTCCAGAAAGGCCACAGTCTCTAAATAAAGGACTCTCCTTCAGAATGGATGCAGTTGGTTTAAAAGAAAAAGGAAATCCTTGTCTTCCGTTGTGGCACAGACTCTGAGTTTTCCTCACAGAACAGCCTCAGTTTGCAAAACAAGGTTTGGGAGGCAGCGTGGGGTGTGAGGGATCCGGGATGCGGACAGGCAAAGGGCGAGGGAGGAGGACAAGGAGTCATGGCGGGCAGAGTTGAGGACCAGCTGGCCGAGCAGCCTGGCTTCCATCCGGAAGGCACAGGCCCGGCTGGAAGGCCTGGAGCAGGGCTGTGGCTTGAGCTGCACGTTAGAAAGACTACCATGGAGGCAGCATCGAGGTCACTTAGCTGAGGGGCTGGTGACAGAGTCCTGTCACGGGGGCTCTCGGCCATCCTTCCGAGGGCCCACCCCACCAAGGCTGCCCCTCCCAGCCCCCACGACAGCCAGGAGGCCACGGGCAGCGTGGAGAGGCGTCTCTGGAGTCATCAATGTGCTGGGCATGGGGGAAGTGTGGCCTGGGCCCACCACTAGTCCTTCTGGAAGTAGAACTTGGTGACTGTCATGGCCTCTTCGGGCGTGTTGGTGAAGCTGACGGGCCGGTCGGCCTCAAGTGCTGTGCAGAGGAACCAGCCGGGGCAGGCGGCGGACTCAAAGCGGGTGGTGGGGCCTCTGTCCGAGAGGATGAAGGTGAAACGCTTGTCTTGATCCTTGTTCTTACTCAGGTCGGTGATATTAACTGCCTGGAGGCCAAGATAGGAGCAGTGAGGGCTGGGGAGCCCAGAGATCCTCCCTCTGCCTACACTTGGCCCCTGGCTGGCTTAGAGAAGGAGCTGGAGAAACACTGACCAGGGACCCCTGCAGCTGGCCAAGTGTCCTGGGCCATCTGGGACAGCAGTGACACAAAGAGGCTGTCCCACAGTCACGCCTTGACTTTGGGAAATCTGGCCGCTCTAGCCTTGGGCCAGGACGTTTGGTAAACACATGGCGTCTTCAGAAGAGGGCAGTGCACAAGGAGGCCGGAGTTCTCTCCTGGCCTGCACCTCTGGCAAGAGGGCATGAGGACGGGGGTTGGGCAGAGGTCACCACAGCACATTCGGCACAGTACACACAACGTCCTCCTCATCCCCCCTCCACGCAGAGTAGTCACCCTCTGAAAGAATGCACCTGTCCTGCGGTTGGGAGAAGGGACGGTGCCCCAGTTAGTTACAGCCACTCACACTGAGTAAAGATCCTGACCCACAAGCCCCTGAGGCAAAGCCATCTCTTCCCATTCACACTGCGGGGAGCAAGGAGCACAGGGCCCCAGATAGGATGCCAATGTGTGGGTTTGAGTAAATAAGGTTTAGAAGAGAAAGGTCTTGAAGCTTCGCTTCCTCGGAAGAGGGTGAGTCCAAGTGGGTCGGGGGCCCTGGGCAGGAGAGTGGCACACAGAGAATGGGACCTCCAAGGCAACTGTCCTTCCCAGTCCCCTCCTTCTAGAGACTAGACTTAGCCCTACGCCTGGCTTCAGCCAATGGGATGTGAGCTGAACGACGTCGGTGAGGGTTTGATACACATTTGCACATGGAGGCTTGTCTTTGTGGAATAATCTGGCTTGGAAGCCAGCAGCCATGCTGTAAGGAGGCCCACGCTGACCTCGGTGCTCCGAGACCATGTGGAACAGCAGCCTGGGGAGTGAGAAGCCATCATCGCCCCTACCCCCAACAGAGCTCCCCGCTGATGCCACTGCAGGAGGGTCGGGAGCTACGCCAAGCGGAGCACATGGCCCGCTGCACCTGTCTCATCAACCCCAAGTCCCGAGAAAGAGCCTACTGCCATTGTTCCAGCTATGGGGTTTGGGGTGGTTGTTATCTGAGATGGGTCCTTACCTCCAGCTGGAGCCTGGTCTCATCGCCAGACTTGACGCAGGACAGACACAGCTTCCCCCCATGGATCCCCAGGAACACGGTATGAGGCTCGATGGGCACCACATCTAACTTCTCTGGGAAAGAGCAGAAGGCAGGGTCAGGTTGCAGAGAGAGAAGGAGGCAGCCCAGACTCTCCCAGGAGATTTTTCTGTCTCCCCCCGCCCACCCACCAACTAAAACCCAAAGGTCAGAAGGACAGGAAAGCCCCATCTCCCTGGTCTGCATTCAAACAGAAGATCAAACCAAGTAGTCTCTGAGTTACTCTTCAAGGACTGTGTCACCTAGATTCTGCTCTGTGTGGTTCCTGTCCTTCCTTCTCCCCAGGACACCTGTGCTCCAGGTCCCCCGGGGTACAGGAAAATAGCACACGGGCCCTGGGGCTTGGTCTACAGGCACCTGGGTGACTTTGAACCTGCCTCTTGACCTTGGTAGTCTCTGAGCCCACACAGCAGTGAAAATCTCAGCCTTCCTGTGCTTCGGCGTGTTCATCAGGAGAATTAACAGAAGGACAGGAAAGACCAGTCTCATACTCTTTTAGGGTGAGGCAGGGAGCTGAGAACAAGGGGACGGGGCAGGGTGGGAGCCATCCCATTGTACCAAGTCAGCCAACAAGGACGTGAAAACATCCCAGGAAGCTCATGCTCAGAGACTCTCTCATGGTGCCATCATGCCAGCCTCATTTCCCTGAAGGAAAAACTGAGGGATGGAGTGGGGGAAGCCTGCCCAAGCTCATGGAGCTTGTTTAGAACAAGAACCGGAACATGGCTGATGTGGTGTCCGTGGATAAGGGACAGAACCCAGACTTAGATGTGGTGCATTCGTTTTGGTTGGTAGTTAGGATCTGAACAACATAGGAACATGGAAGCCTTCGTAGTCATGAAGGGAAAGGGAGCACCTTGCCTTCTGTGCCCTCTCCCTGCCAGCTGTGGCCCTGGGACACCGTGCCAGCAGGTGGGGGCTCCAGAACTAGATAACCGTCCTACCCTCTTGAGGCTGCCCTCGAGTGTGGCCAGGCCTCCCCCAGCTTCCAACTCAGCCACAAAGACCCAGCGGGAATTAGGACTTTGAACCGAAGGTTTGGGGGAGCAAGCCACAGACTCCAGGCCAACGTGACCCAGGACCCACACGGCATCCACTCTCCTGGCAACCACTCACCTTCCAATTTAGTATTTGATCCTTGCAAGTACCCAGCGACCAGCTGGTTGTTCCTCAGGTAGAAGGTCTTCTGGTTAATATCCCAGATTCTGAAATACAAAAGACCCCTGCTATGGTGAACAACCTCTGTATGCCCAGTCCTGTGCCCCCCACTCTTCCTGTGTCCCCCAGAGCTCACTGAACCTGCATTCAGCTTTCTGACACGGGTGTGGTGCTTTAGCCCAGCCCTGGCATGCAGGAGACGCTGAGGTCTTCATGGACGAAGAGGAGGCCCAGCTGCCACCTCTGGAAAGCAGTGTACCCACGTTCTACCATGGTAGCCACCAGCCACATGTGGCTATCGAGCCCTTGGTGAAGGGCTGAGAGCCAAGCTTGCACAGCCCCAGCCTGAACATGGGCCCTCTGTGCCCTGCTGCCCACCTGTGTGACCTTGGAACTGTGCCTCATCTCCTCACAAGTGAAGTATGGCAACCAATGCCCATAACATCGGGTGACTTTGGGGAGCTCATGAGCTCAGTGAGGGATGGCTGGACAAAATCTAAAGGTCTTTGCACATGTTGAGCATCGGACCTTTCCAGATTCTCCTAAGCTCCTGGATGAGTCTCCTACTAGAGACCTCGAGGTGCATCTCCTGGAGCCCCCAGTCAGTAGGAGGAGGCAGAGGCAAAGCCCATGAAGAAGTTCCCATGTCTAGAAATGCACACACACACACACACACACACACACGCACAGAATCCCGAACTGCATCTCAAGCCAGGGAAACTCGATTCAAGGGTGAAGTCACCCTGGTGTGGCTTAGTCCCAGGATGTTACAGGACAGAGGGCCCATGGGGACAGAGCCATAGCCTGTCAATTTTACAATGTTGGTGACATCTCACAAAACTCCTGGCTCAATTTTTTTAAATCGCAGTCATGCTCAGGGGCTCTTTGATCTTCACAACAACCCAGGAAGGCAGGCAGAGGGTTATCCTTAACCCCATGTCACACACGGGGAAACTGAGGCCACAAAGGAGCGGGGTCCTCCATCATGTCCACACGGACCCGCAAGGCTGGCCGGCAGTCTGGGCCTCCGGGCTGTGCACCGCCCATAGAGGGCCTCCCTCCGGCTGCCTTGCCCAGGCAAGAGCCTCGGCATGACTCCACGCCTGTCACTCACTGAGTTGCCAGAGTCTCCGGGACAATCAGCCAGGCCTCTGGCCAAGTTCTGCCCATCTGAGATATTCTGAGACACACTCCCTGAAGACCACAGATGTGGCTCCCCTTTCCTGAATAACGGACCTCCCTTTCCAGCCCAAACTCAGATCGCAGTCACTGTGGAGGCCAGTGGCCCCACACGGCCGGTAGTGGCTCCATTTGCCTGTCTGTCCACCATGCCTTCGCAGGGGCGGCCTTACCTGAAGACTTGCATCCTGCAAGGTCTCTTCCCCGAGGGATGGCAGGCTGTCTCTGAATGGAACAGGAAAAGGAGGAAAGAGATCAGGTAACTGAGGGGATACCTGCAGGTGTCCATTCTGCGGCCACAGCAAGACAAGACGACACTGCCATTTCAGGCCCCGAGTTGCCGCTTATAAAGAAAATAGTCACTCACCCAAGCTGCTCTGTCCTACTCTGAGAAACGGAAATGCCCTCATATTTCCAAAATGAGAAACCTTGTTGTTGTCACTTTCAACTGTGCTGAGTGTCGCAACGGGGTGTCGTAACTGATTCCCTCCCCTTTTCCCCCATGCAATTTCCCCAAAATTAAGATTTCTATTTCCCCTTCACTTAGTTCCTGGGAAGAGCGCGATGAAAACTGACTCCCTCGTTGGCCTGACAGGTATCCTGAGACTGTTTGTTGACCTTTTTAAAAATAGATTTACGAAAAAAAAATAGATTTAAGTAAAAAAATCCTCCTTTCTAACAAGCCAAGTGGTGGGGCCCTTCAGCACACAGAACAGTCTCATGACACTTTGTGTTCTTTGAAGGATGGACAGCCATGCTGGACTCTGGACCAGGGACTAGCAAACATTCTGTAAAGGACCAGATAGTAAATATTTTAGGGTTTATCTCTGTCATGATTTCTCAGCTCAGCTATTGTTGCTTAAACAGTGATAGGTGATCTGTAATGACAAGTCAGTTACCTTCTAACACAACTTAATTTACAAAAACAGGGCATTTCCATTTTTCAGAGTAGGACAGGGCAGCTTGAGTTTTTGTAAGTGAAGTTGTTTTTGGCTGCATTTGGCTTGAAATCCTCTGACCCCTGCCATGGAGTCAGTTTCCTGAGAGGTGTTTCGACCTCAGCTCTCTCCCTGGGATCCATGTCTTTAAAGTATGGTCTTGGAAAAATGGGGTCAACTCAACCCTTGGACAGATGGATCCAGATTTCACCTCTGCCACTTGCCATTTGCTACCCATGTGACCTTGAACTTCTTGGGGACTCTGCCTCTGCCCCTTCTGCCTCAGTGCCCAGAGTGGGATTGATCATGTCTTCCTCTATGGGTGAAAAGAGGGAGGAAGGAGGAGGTAGTAAGGAAGGGAGAAAGGGAGAGAGGAAGGGAGACAGGAAGGAAGAAATTCTAGCCTGCAGTGAGCACACATAAGCATTAACTTCTTTCCTTACTAGTTCTAGAAGTTAGGAAAAAGGTATGCATATTCCCTTTTATGGATGGCAAGAGCATGGACTGGGCTTTACATAATCAGAGGGCCCAGTGTTAATGCAGAAGCACAGATTACACCATTGGAGAACTGGGTGGGAGCTCGGCAGTCGTCTTACCCACCCTATCATTGTCTTGAAGAACATTCAGAAAGACCCAAAGAGGGAAAGGGACCTGCCCAAGGCCACACAGAGCATTAACAGCAAAGGTATGCCTAAGAATCCGGGTCTTCAGACTCCCAGCCAGTGGCCATCCTGTTCAACAGCTGATCTTGATGAGTCTGACTTTATTTTTAACCAGCAAATCAGTGTCATTGTCCAAATGAGGGCAAAATCCTTCAGAGATGATGGTTACATTGTATAGGTGAAAGTTGCTAAGAGAGTTGATCGTAAAAGTTCTCATCACAAGAAAAAAGATACTTTTATAACTATGTATATAAAACAGGTGATAGGTGAAAACAGCTATGTTGTATATCACTAATGTTATATGTCAATTATACTTTAATTAAATATAATGTTATATGTCAATTATATCTCAATTTTTTAAAAAATTAATGTTATATGTCAATTATACCTCAATTTTAAAAGATTTTTTAAAATGAAGGTTACAGATGAATTTCTCAAATCTTTAAAGAACACTTCTTTCAGAGCAAATGGAATATTTCTGCAAAAATTGTATCACTTCTCTGGGTGATTACTTTGAGGGACAAAGTGACTTGTACTTGTCCCCTCTGTCCTCCCAAGATGAGTGACCTTGAGGAAGGCATTCGCCTTTGAAACACATGCAAGAAAAAATATCTACCTTTGAGGGCCAAGGGGGCGTTCTGTTGGTTTTGGGGAGGGCTGGCTGGAGGATGTGATGGGTAAGAACCTGCTTGATTATTTGCCACATTCATTCAGCATTTGCTGAATTGGGGGTTATAATTTCTGGAACACCTATGAATCATCAGGGGCCTAAACTGGTCACCACCCCTGCTGAGATGGAAGGCAGCAAGCCCCCACTGTGGTAAGTTCTCTCCTACTTGTCTTTCAATGCCACTTCTGAAGCCCTCCTCGATGTCACATCAGCACCCCTTGAAAAACATCCCTGGAGACTGAAGAGGAGGATGACTTGCTTAGGGGACCCCAAGGGGCTCCATCCTGCCTGTCTACCCTCAGACAGCATTCCAGGTCAAGTTCCCACCCACACTGTGGCTCCTGGGTAAATGCTCCCCTGTCTCCAGCCCAAATTCAGAGAGACAGATTTCTCCCAGAGAGCAGAACCCTGAGTTCTCCACCTTTGCTGGAGAAGTTGCCTAGCAGGCCTTTCCAGGTGGGGAGGAGGGAGTCCCTAGGGCCAGGTTGAGAAGTCAGGCTGACCTGGGGCTGCCCTCTCCCATGTCACTTAGGAGCTGGGCCACCCACGCCCTGTTCTCTTGTCTGCAGTTTCATTATCCATTAGACCGTGCTGATAATTGAGGCCTTGCCACAGGTTCCGTGAGGACTGAGACGTTGCACACGGTGTACTCAACCCTGACCCTGGCACGTAGCAGATACTCACACAATGGAAAGCTATTGCGTCTGCCTCTTCACCCCACGTAAAGTGGGAAAGGTCAGTTACAATGCCCCTAACCCCATCCACCCTACTCGGCTCACCAGGCTAGACTCCAGAGGGGGAGGCCCTCACCGTCTGGGCTGGGGGAGGAAGTGAGCGGGGGACCTGAGGCTCCTCCCCTCTCCTCACGCTTCTGGCCACAATTCTACTCTTGGTTCCGTCTTATCAAAAATAGTTGGTGTCCCTATGATTTCTGCCCACAGGAAATCTCTGACTAAACTTATTCTCGGTTCCGGGTGCTCAGCCCCTCACTCCAGTTCCCGAATTCAGTTCAATGACCACACCACATTGTGGACCCTGCCTTCCCACTCAGACCTTGTGCTCTCCCTGTGAGCTTCAGGCAGCAAACTACATCGAGTGCCTTCTACATGTTGAGCCCTGCTCTGCCTTGGTGACAGCAGAAATGACAAAGGCCCACTCAGAGGGAAATAGGACAACCATGTCCTCGGAGTGACACTCGACAGGCTGTACTGGGACCAAGCCCTGGCCCGCTATTGGTGCCTCTAGGGCACCATCCACATAGGAAGGGTTCAATAAATGCTATTTCTCAATCTCAGCTAATTGCATCCCTCAGTTCTAGGATTGCCATCTGCTTCCTTTTCTGGGGGGGGGTATAGTTTCTGCCAAAAGTTTCAGTCTTGTCTTTTAAATCCTTGGACGTGGTATTCATGGTTCTTGTAAAGCCTGCTCCTACTCAGGGCATTATCTGAATCCCTGCTGCGTGTCCTTCTGGAATCTGCTTCTGTCTGGTGCACAGGTTGTCTTGCATATGCCTGGCTGCTTTCTATTGACTGCTGGGCACGGTAGTATAACAAACATTGTAGAGGTCATTTGAGGCTCTGGACATATTATCTTTATCTAGAGATGATTCCCTTTTGCTTCCCCTGGGCAGTGAGACTGGGGGTGCTTCCGGGTGACCTTCCCCCCAGCAGGCTTCTGATGGTCACAATGGGACATCAAGAACTAGGCAGGCTACTCCATTTCTGTTCAGTCCTGGTCCTTAGGGTCCCAGCCCAGACCTGGGGTGTTTACCGGGGCCCTTTCTCCTCAGTGGGAGATAAAACACAAATTTTATCCCCTCCCACCCCCTGTCCAACCCCACGAGACTGTCCAAAACTCAGCTGGGGCTTTTGAAACCAGAAAATGTTTCCTGGGCCAAAAGGCCCCCAGGTTGACCTCCACCTGTTGGGGCCTCTGCAGTTCTTCAAAGCCCTGGTCATTCTTTGATGCCATCTGATTATTTCGAAATATATTTTGCTAGCTTTGCTGGTTATCACAGCAGGAATTTTGGTCCTGGGCCAGATGTGGAACCCGATGTGTATTTTTTGAGTTGTATTTTTCAGGATGCAGAGTCCAAACAGCATTTGGGGGTAGGGGCAGAAGTCATGAAAAAGTCTGGGCAGAAGTCAGGAGGAAGTGCCTTTCATGCCGCATAAGGGGCAGGGAATTTATCTTAAAGAACCTGGAATCAGTGGGTGACACTGTCAGATTTGTTTCATTAAGATCACCCTGGGGCCCGTGGACAGATAGATGAGACCTGGTGTGTGATCTGGGGCCACTGAGCCTGAAGGCAGGGCTGTGCTGTGCTGGTCCATGATGCGGACAGCTGGCTTCTCTGAAAAAGTTCCCATTAGTAGCTTTTGCTGGTTTCTCTGGGATAAACACTCCCTCCGCGGATGATCCCAAGCCACCAGCAGGACCATGCTGAATGCAGAACTGGGAAGAGATGCTCACAAGCCGATCCTGCCGGCTCCAGAGCCCCACAGAGGTGGGGGGATCTGACGGCTCTTGGTCCTTCTTGGGAGAGAACATCTTATTTCCCAACTCCAGTCTCTCCCTGCCTCAGCCCAGCGGCTCAGCCCCCGGGTCCCATCCCCCTCACAGCCAGCGATCCCTTCCCGACAAATCCAGTTCACCGGGACACCTCCGCAAACCTTGGTGTAAATGTTTCCAGCTGTGTCTGCTGGCCCGCAGGCAGGTCACACAAACAGCATTCATCAAAATTTAAGCAGCCGGCTTTGGGCGGACAGATGTGCACCTTAAGTTGCAACAGCTCGATCTCACGTTTAGAGCCTTCAGCCAACTCCTGCGTACGTGAGCGTCACAGCGCACAGCACACATGCCCAAGCTTCAGAAATTTTTACTGAGATAATGGTACAAAGTCTCTGGTTACTCTTTCCAAGAGCTGAGTAAATATATCAGTACAAATAGGAGGAGGAAGGGCAAATACCATCTCACATCTTCTCTTGTCAGTTTCCACCTACCCAGCCCTGCCCTGTAACCAAGTTGATTTTTACCAAACCCAGGAGCTTGTGAGAAGCTGCCCACAGCGACAGGCCAGGTTTGGAGACAGAGGTTCTCCCAGGTGTCTCGGCCCACCTGAGTGCCCTCTTGGCCTGGGGACGGTTGTCGGGAGATTGTATATAAAGTCAACTGTTATCAATCACAGCTTCATAAGAAGCATGCTCCCCTCCTGGTCCAGATGGCAAACTTACTGTGCATCTTGTACAAGTTTCCAAGTCTTCCAAGATGGTTTTTGCTCCAGCAGTTCCGGGTCTGATATGGATCTGAACTGAAAGCCATTCTTTATCTGCTTATCTGGTCCTTCTAGAGGCACATGTTTGCTCCTGCCTTCTTGGTTTTGGTGACCAGCTTCATAAGGCAGCTAGCTTCTCCAAAGGCAGATGGAGAGGGAGTGGGAGTGGGGCAGGAACTGGGGGAGGGCACAGCTGGGTTTCTTACCTTCTGCGCTTTGGGCTCAGGCTATGTGCTCTTTCTTTACCATGGATCTCACTTAGTCCTCATGACAACTGCGCAAGGTGGGTATCTTTACACCCACTTTCAAGACGGGTTTATACTTACACTCACTTCACAGAATAAGAAATCAAGGCTCAGAAAGATTAAATCACTTGCCCCAGATCATGGCTGAGGCAGGATTTGAACCCAGCTCTTGCATCCCTTCCCATACGCCAGTCCTGCCAGAAAGGCAACTGACCTCTTTCCTCTCTGCTTCATTGCACAGGGAATAGAAGCAGCAATTACATTTGCTCTTACGGCGTTCCTTTTGATTGGAACTCACGTCTTCTAGAGAAACAATTTATTCCACAATTGCTTGGAAATTTTAGAAGTTTATTTTTTGGTAGTAAGGAAAGGATGATTTGAAAACCTTATGGAGCTTAACAAGAAAGCTCTATAGCTGGTTTTGGACTAAGGTGGCCATTTGCCCGGTTTTTCCAGAACTTTCCAATGTTAGTACAGAAAAGTCCTGCATCTCCGGAAAGCTGAGATGATTGGTCACCCTATAATACAAATCCTAAAAAGGTGCTCATACCATCTGGTGGCTAGTACTGCAAATTGCAGGCATGATTAGCTGCCTATCATTGTGTCCTGCCCAGCAGAGATGTGGTCCATTTTATTAGATAGATACATAGGTAGATAAAGCACACAAGAAACCAAAAGCCTTAGCCTTCCACTCAGGAAAAGAGACCACAGCAGATGCAACGTTGGTCAATCACTCCCCTTCGGATCAAGTTAATTTTTAATTTAGCCATTTACACTTCCTCCAACTATGTAAATCAAGGTAGATCCGCCTCTAGTAGCTCCACATTGGTTTCAAACTTAGGCTATAAAAAGGAGTTTCTCTATCATTATCACTGCCTCCACCTTTACATCCTCTTCCTCCTGCCTCACCTTTTTCATGCACCTTAGCTGCGAGGTCAGTGGTGTTAGAGAGGAGGAAGAGGGCCAGTGAGAGAAGTTTCACGTCCCAGGTGCACACCCACCATGGTCCTTGCTCCTCTGTCCTCGAGCTCCCAGACCTTGAGGTAAACCCTAAATCTCTCCATGGTCTCCATCGTCTCCCTTCTCCGAGCCCTACTCCTGGCCTCCCAGAAGACATGGTGTCTTCACTGGGCTTGCACGCCCTCGTCTCCTGAATTCGAACTTACTCAGCACCTACCATGTGCCAGTTGAAAATACTTCAAAGTGGACTGTTTTTAAGCATAAAGGTTCCTTCACATTCTATCACTGTCTGGTTCTGGGAATGGTGTCCTCTTTACACATTTGAAAGAAGCGTAAGACCGTGGGCTGACATTTTAACACACTCCACTGGAAACTGCCTCACCTGCTGAAGGAAAGGGGAGGATTTACTGCTCTTGGAAAAACTGCTTGTGGTTTACAAAGTCCTTCTTCCTGCATGAGCTCACTCAGTCTCTGCACCCCCAGAGCACAATAGGGTGGTTTGGAACAGACTGTCTGCAGCGGACCCCAGCTCCTCCCCTTAGAGTGGCTGTCTGGTCTTGGGCAAATTACTTAACCTCTCTGTCCAAGTTCCCACTTATGAAACAGTGAACAGTCTTAGTGCTTCCTCATAGGGTTGTGGTGAGGATTAGAAGAGATGGGCCGTGTTAATTGCTCAGCGGAGCCCCTGGTCTGCCAGCTTATGGGAGAATTGGCTATGACTGTGCCCACGAGACCCTGAGAATTGGCCAGCCTCCTCTTGATACTGAGAAGAGGGAGACCCAGAAAGGAAAACAGTTCACCCATTCAAGGTCAAGCACAGAATTCGAAACTAGGTCTTCAGACTCCCAGATTTAAGATCTTTTTTCTGTGCCACACAGATCTTAAGCAGAGATTGCAAACCAGTAGCAGACCACAGGTTGAATATTTTCTTTGCTCACTCTGTTGTTTCATTTAATCAAAATACTTCTGAAGGAAATCGGAATATCTGACTATTCCTGAAAAATGAGAAGTTCTGACCACCTGAGCCTGCACCCTCGTGAGACAACCATCCGCTGGAACAATCAGGTGTAGCCACGGAATTCCGGTCCCTGCCCTTGCGTCTGACCCTTCAGATCTTGGGACCTGGTGCCCAATTCTGTCAGTGTTTCTCATTGAGTTCACATGGTTCTTTCTCCCATTAGACAGAAATATATCCCCAATTTCCACGTCTCCCTCACCAGTGGAAAATGACCAACAGACTCTAAGAGCTCCAGGATTTTTCTTGCAGCAGGTGTGCCCCCTCTGTCACCTGCGTGCCTGGCAGGCATTGGGCTAGTGTCCCCAGCCCCACAGCATCTGTGGGGCCTGCTGCTGCCTCCCCCTCGGCCAGGTCTCCCAGACAGGCCTGGAGCTACCTGCCCTTGACGTCTCCCTGGAAGCTTGCTCTTGAGAGTCTGAGAGCATTTGGTAAACACGAATGGTAGCTATTCCCTCCCCCACCATTTTTCAGATGGAAAAGTAGGAATGAGAGAAACTTACCTGCAGCCATGGGAAGGGCCTGGTAGAATCCACGGTCCTCTGAGACCGTCCAGCCTCTGGCTCCAGACCAAGCTGCTGCACAGAAAGGAGAAGCAGTCGGCACTACCTGTGCCACCCACACCTCCCAGGGTGGAGCTGCTCCTTCCCTCCTGATTACCTGCAGAGAGGAAGAGGAAGGGCCTGTGCCTGCCTTCCACACACCCAGCTTCCAAAAAGGTGACTCAGGCTAACAGAAGCCAAACTGGTTCTTATCTCTGTAAAGCCAGAGGTCTCACACGAGGAACTGAGCTGGCTTAGCAAGGCTGGACCTTTGTGCCCACCCCACTTTGTGCTCAAGCCGACTGCAG